GGTGTCCTAGCCGGTCATGTCTACGAATGTGTCCGCTGGAGGCTGAGTGCAGATGTCAGGACGCCGGATCAGCTGTTTGTGCAGGGAGAGGCTGGTAAGGGTGACAACTCCGGGAGGATCCATGTCAAGAAAACACCAGGGACCCCAACGGTCCCCTCTGCACGTGAGCTGCACCGCTCATCGGGCTGCGCACCCTACTACACCCCGACCCACCCATAATCCGGAGCGGGGGGTCGCGCTGTGACAGGGGGGGAAGGAGGCGGCGAAGAGGAAGGGAGGAGGAGCAGGCGAGGGCCTCGGTTCCACGCACTTCCTTAGACAAAGGCGAAAAGGGAAGCGGCAGAGCTAGCGAGAAGCCCCGGCCCGTCTCCGTACCACTTCGCGGGGTAGGCAGCCCAGGCTTACAGCCGGCCAAACGACAACACCAGCGCCTGCTCAGCACAAAACCACAGCCAGCACACACAGGAGAAAATGGCCGCTGCTGCGTCACCTCCTGGCTTCTCCCGCCTGGGGCTCTGCCTCTTTGGACTAAACCATTCAACGCCCAGAGGGAGGTCAGTTATGAATAAGAACGCTCCAGTCTTTCCGAATGGGTCAGCTCATCATACTTTTTATAGCTGCAAATATCAGCACGGAAATAGTGGAGAATCTGTAATACCAGACTGAGTTTAGCGGGCCCTCAGAGAATCACCAAGAGTCAGCACCGTCATGGCACCCCGTGTATATGGATGAGCTCAAAGTGGAGGCTCCACCTACAGGCGGAGGGGGCGCTCCTATCCCGTGATGTATCGGAGGTTTTTTTTTGTATCGCCGAACTTTATTAGGATGACAAAAACTGACAAATGCTGTCATTCTTAAATGTCCTGGAAAAGCAGAAAATACCAACAGTCATGTGATCCAGCATGACAACCAGGCAGCTAGCAGTGTAAAAGAGGATCAGCAGTGTCAACCTCTTTATTTCCCTCAGAAAAGGTTCACTTTAAAGGCATATTCCCAAAAATTAATAAATGCACCCATATTGCAAAAAGTGAAATTGCATTTATTATTTTTTGTGCATTGGTGCCTGCAAGGCATTGCAACTGCCATTAGTGCATTGGGGGTGCAATGCTCAATGTTCCCCCAGCCCCTGTCTGTGGTGGCAGATGATACTTGTACGTTTTTCATTCACAGATTCTGTGAATGAATTATGCGGATGAGCCACACTGTGAATTAAAGGAGAACTATGACATGAGTGATTTCCACTCACCTCATAGTTCTAAGCCGACCTGTGACAATGAGACTGTCACAGGTCGGCTCAGTAGATCGGGAGGTGAGAGAACACATACCGGGTTCCCTCACCTCTCGATGGCTGGATTCCCCTCTCCCCGCTCTGATCTGCCAGCGCTGACTGGCGGAACGGACGGGGGAGGGGGCGGGTACAGGTGGCTCTGCCTCTAGATAGGCAGAGCCAGCTGTCACTCACGCAGCTGGGCGGATCCCGTCATCTAAGTCCGGATCCGCTCCAGGCGCGGCGTCTCAGTATACCGCGAGCTGTAGCTCGCGGTATACTGAGCTTAGGGTAACGGGAGGATGCTAGTTTGTGTCCTCCCGTTACCCCAAGGAGAACTATGGGGAAAACACTGACCCCATAGTTCTCCTTTAAGAAAAAAATAAAAGCATGCGGGTAGAAACACCCCACAATTCAGGTGTGGGGGGCAAGGGGCTAAAGAATGGCCCAATGTTCCATGTCCTAAATATTTTGAAAACAGCTACCAGCAAGCCAATAGTTAATATTTAAAACTGATTTAAAACGTTATTAGCCACTTATAACTCTTCTGCCCATTGTATACCTGAGCGGATGCCATTCACATAGGATTAGTGCCACTAGATGGCGCTAAGGAGCATAGGAAAATGCTCCACAGCACCATCTAGTGGTGGTAGTGCTGTGCATAATGGCAATATGTTGGGTAGAAGAGTTGTAGTTCAGCCTCTTAACCAACCATACGCATTACAATCTGACCGTACAATATTTGTACAATCAACTTTAGGTTTAACTCAACTATGTAATATGAGGGCCGACTCAAACTATCCAATCGATCTGTATTCAATCAGGCAGGCCCTCTTGCACTACATAGTTGTAGATTGGCCAAAGGAGATCATACAACCTGTCTTACCGCCAAACTTCACTCTCTTGGAGAGCTGCAGAATCTTTAGCGCAAAGACTTCCAGGAATGTCATATGCCTGCCTTCCACTGCATCCTGCTGGTCCTATGTCACTACTGTGTCCTGGAGGATGGCACCACAAAGTGCAGATAGGACCAGGCATAGAATTGCTTGATGCTGAGGAGTCTAGCCACATAGCTCTACAACAGACTGAAATTTGTGGCAAGGACAGTGGGACAAGTATTAACCCTTTTCTTTGCAGGTTACACTTCTTTTAACCTTTTTTTAGTTGAGCAACAGAGTCAAATGAAGCAAATGCAACATCCAAAACAACCTATACAAATACATCTTGTATTGGATTGACTTCAGTCACTATGGGACAGGAACTGAAGGACAATTCTTCAGCATGAAAACCTTACATGGGCTTCCATACATTGTCTAAAACTAAGATGTTTTGATTCTTTTACTTTCATGCTGACCTTTCTGGCCCTACGACATTCCTGTGGCTTTATCATGTCTGCACATCTGGACCCCCTTGACGCTTAGACAGCCTCAATGATAATCATGCTCCTTTCTTAAGAAGACCACATTCATTTTCCAATCCCCAAGCCTCGTTGGGTCTCAGATTCTTGGCTGGTAGACCTAAAACCCATTCTAGCCCTTTCAACCTGTAACCTAATGTAAAAAAAAAACAAAAAAGTGGATAATATTTACTTGTCAACAGATCCAGGCTCCATGTGGTACCTGAACACATATGGATGCATATCATTTGTTCAAGCAAAGTCAGACTGGCTAGTTCTGGTTGAACATCACCTACTGAGGATGTGATTTGTCACCATATATGTCTATCCATGTATTGACAGACAGAAATAATCCAAAGACGATGATAGGTAAGTATTACACAGGGGGTATAGGCAGGGGCGTAACTAGAAATCACAGGGCCCCATAGCAAAATTTTGTATGGGGCCCTGTGATTTCTAGTTACGCCCACCTGATAACCCAAACAGCCCACCTAAGGGTGACCCTGCAGAGCCCACCATAGACT